TGACATTTTAATACAAAGTACATGCACTCATACCAGTAACACTAAATGCAAAAAGCCATAAAATTAGAACCAGCAGTAACAAATATCTAAAACGCAGCTTTTCACTGGTAAACAAATGATAACCGAAACCTGATGCAATTCCCTGAAAATTCTAGGAAATATTTTGCTTGCCGTACTTAGAAGGGCGACAAAAAGCACACAAGCACATGTTTGTAGGAAAGAATTGAATCATGCAGTTCTTTTTTATCATCCTCTGTCGGATCTTATGGTGCACAATACACGCCATAGCTAATGCAGTGTTGATTTGTCATATTATGTACTGGTGTCAGATTATTTGATGGGAGCAGTCTGAAATATTTTTTTAAAACCTGTATGCTATCATCGATACTCCTTAGTAGACTATTTTTCCAACTGAATTGTCAGTGTTGGATTTTTGTTTTTCATCTTGACTTTGTATGGACCTTGTCACTCTGCATGTATTTACAAATTGCTGTATTTACTATATAGTTCTTTCCACTTGTTGCATGTTCAATAAAGACTGACTAACCGATATTACCGCACATTCTGGCATTTCAGAGATTTACCAAATAATAATAATAATAATAATAATAATAATAATAATAATAATAATAATAATAATGATAATAAATAATAATAATAATAATAATAATAATAATAATAATAATAATAATAATAATAAAAATAATAATAATAATAATAATAATAATAATGAAAATCATAAAAGAAATCTGAAAATGTTTCCTGAGAATTTTTATACGTCGAAAATTCTAAAATAGTCTGTATACTTAAGCCACGACAGAGAAACCCATGAATGTGCCGCCCCCATGTAACGCTAGAAAAAAGTAGTAGTAGTAATGGTAATGATAATAGGTAGATAGTAGGTAATGGTGGCAATGATGATTATAATAACAATAATAATGATAATAGGAATGATAATACTGTTATTGACGATGATGATGAAAATGATAATAACCAGCGAGACCCGTAGAACACAAAATCAAAGAAAAGATGAGGTAATCTTTTCCCCCTCTTTCACTCTCCTTTTTCTTTTTTTCGCCTCTTGTCTCACTCTTCCTTTCCCTTCTCTCCGACTACCTTTTCGTTCCCTGCACTGCCACTCCATCTCCATCCCAGATCTTACTGAAATTCACTCCTCTCCATCTCTCTTTAAGTCCTACATCTGTCCCTTCCCACTTCCCTCTACCTCCTTGAACTCTCTCTCCAAATCCCCCTTTTCTGTGTGTGTGTGTGATTCATTAATATGTTTATTGTCTATTATCACTATTTTACACCAAAATGAAATTACTTGATGTCCGCAGTCATTTGATTAGTATTTGACATTCAAAACGAAATCTCGTAATAGACAGACTAATCTAGTAAATGTAAAAAATTGATAAAGAAAGAGGATGGGTGTGTAGAGAGGTTCGCCCGCCGTCAGATGGCAACGTAAGAGGTTGGGGGCGTAGAGCAGGTGAATGAAAGGGGTCTTGACTAGAGGGTTTATTTGTGGGAGGCAATTACATGACCCCACGAGACCCGTGCCCCGGGTGCGGAAGGGGAAGCGCCCGTCGTCTGGCTTCTGCTGTGTTTCCGTCTGCTCTCCCGTCTTGTCTGACGACTGACATCGTCATTTCATTTTGGTGCAAAATAGTGATAATTGATAATATACATAATAAAGAATCACACAAACACACACAGAAAGGGGGGAATGGTTATTGGAGAGAGAGTTATGCTCGCTCCAAATGTTTGTTTCAGCCCAGACAAAGGGCTTGCTCGAACAGGAGAATTGGTTTCCTTAGGTTAACCAGGCTTGGGTGTGGTACGTGCAAATCGGCTGCTTCCTCTGGTGATGTAAACACAGGAGGACTGCGACAGGAAGGTACAGCATCCGTTTCGACCACAGACGGATAAGTGTGGAACGATATCCTTGACAGAAATAGACACATTAATGAAATATCATGAAGTAGTCACATTGATGATAAGAGTAATATTATCTATGATAAATGATAGTATATTAATAATGATAGCATTAGTAGTATTGGTAATGTATGGTAATTGTGATGATAAGGATTATGGCAATAGTAACATTAAGGATAATTGTAATGATAATAACATCGATAACAATAATAAGGATAATGATAACAAGAGCAATAATATTAATGGTAACAACAATAATGATAATAAGAATGATGACAGTAAAAATAGTGATGATAATAATGAATCATGATAATAAATAGTAAAAATGATGACAATAGTAATGATAATGATAGTGATAATGCCCATCATAGCAGTAATGATAAATGATGATATAAATCATAATATCAATGATGATGATGGAAATGATATTAATAGTGATAATAATAACATTAATAACTCCTAGTATTAATGATAATGACAGTGATAATAATAGTAATGCTATTAATTGTAGTAGTAGTAATAGTAATGATGATGATAATGAAAATAACAATAATGATAATGATAATAATTCTACTAATACTGCTATTACTTATGATAACGATTATGATGATAGTGATGAGGGTTGTAACAAGAGTAATGGTAATAATGATGATAATACTAACGATAATAATAAAACAACAGTAAAACAATAATGATTATGAAAATAACTACAATAATAATGATAATTTTTAGCATTATCATTAATCATTATTATCATTATCATTATTATTAGTAATAATAGAAGTAGTATTAGTATTAGCATTATAATCCTAAAGAAACTTCTAAATCCACCACTGATTATAATGAGTTAGTTAAAGCATACACAGACAATTAAGTACAGGACTGCTCATCATTTAATTGAGTAGTCACTGACAGGAAACTCACTCTCAATCTATTTACATTTTTCCATCTATCTCTCTTTATTTATCTATTATTCACCTATCTTTGTTTATATGCAATTCATTTATCTATCTATCCGTCTACTTATATTATTCATCTGCTGGATATATATAATATGTATAGCCTGTGATGTAAATATCACAACGGTATTTTTGTTGTCAATTCATGTTATTTTTTAGTGTTATTTTTAAGTGTCTTTTATGCATTTCGTGGCGTGTTCGGCATGAGAAAAGTCTTTTGAAGTTGCAGGTTTGTATGATAATTATTTTTATAATCACTCTCTTTCCAAGTTGAAGTCGAACGATTGACATGGTGGAGGGACGGGAAGAGACTGACAAAGTAATAATTAGTAAATAGAAGAAAGGGGGGAAAGAGGAGGCGAAAGAAAGAAAAAAATGAAGAAAAGTAAGAAAACCACAATTTTTTTTTTTTTACTTTTTTTTAATTTTGAATAAATATGGTGAGATGAACAAGAATGCGTTATTAGGGTGAGCAAATGGCGGGTCTTACGCCATATTTGGTGGAGTAATCTTTGGTGGTTGTGGGTCGTCGCACCTGGCAGGATGTGACTGCATGATCATTCTTTTACGATGAAGAAACTCTCTGTCTGTCTGTCTTTCTCTCTCTCTCTCTCTCTCTCTATATATATATATATATCTGTCTGTCTGTCTGTTCTCTGTCTATCTATCTCTGTTTGTCTATTTGTCTGCCGCCCCTCTCTGTCTCTCTCACTCTCTCTCTCTCTCTCTCTCTCTCTCTCTCTCTCTCTCTCTCTCTCTCTCTCTCTCTCTCTTTCTCTATCTCTCTCTCTCTTCTCGCTCTCCCTTCCCCCCTCCCCCCTTCTCTCTCTCTCTCTCTCTCTCTCTATCTCTTTCTCGCTCTCCCTTCCCCCCTCTCCCCCTTCTCTCTCTCTCTCTCTCTCTCTCTCTCACACACATGTGCGTCTCTGTGTGTGCATGTGCGTGCGTTTGCAAATTCGTGTGCGTGTAACGGAATTAGCGTCAATTCGCGAGTGAACCATGGGAACTGCAGGCGCGGCTCACCCTCACTGAACGTACTGCGCATTGAAGTAAGGAATATGTGTTGGTTGGTCTTTGATTCGCGGCCATTTCCACCCACAATCAATCAGTCAATGTATGTTTTTATTTATCATATCAGGACGAAAACACTTGTACTAAGGCATTTTCTGTCGGTTGGTCTTTGATTCACACCCACTCCCTCTCACAATCAATGTTTTATTTTATTTTTTTATTTTTTTTTTTTATCAGAGGGTGCAGACGAAAATACATGAGGTTCACTTCAGCGTGCATTCACTCAAGCACTCATATGCAAATCATCTGCACATTCACTCACGCAGTGTCGGTAGTGACATGGAAGATTCGCCTGAAACCGAGTTGACTTTGTGTCTTTTTTCAGACTATAGATTAACAAAGAGAAACAGCTGGTTTGAGAGTGAAAATGAAGTGCCACCTAGAAAGAAAAATAAGGAAGCGGAGACGGTGACGTAAGTGATGAGCAATCCGGAGAAAAAAAATTAACATAAAAAGAAAATAACGAACAAAGATGTTAAGCGGAGGTCTAGAAAGGCATTTTTTCAGATTATCCTTTTGTTTAACCTTATATAAAAGCTATTTTCAGCCAGAGTACCATAGGCCATATCACAGACTTATACTCAGTCAAACTGATTCTATTGTACTTCTTTCGCCCAAAAAGAGCAAGATAGAAGACTGTCGCCTCACGTAACCTACCACCATGCCTGTTGGACTTGCATGTTCAACACATGGGCCAAGCCTACTCTCTCTCTCTCTCTCTCTCTCTCTCTCTCTCTCTCTCTCTCTCTCTCTCTCTCTCTCTCTCTCTCTCTCTCTCTCTCTCTCT